CATGAACTGAGGTACCACTGTACTTGAATTTTAAAGCACTATTTTCTTTCAGTGGTACCAACTACTCTAAAAAAAAAAAAAAGATCATTTATATAATCCAAAGCAGGCAATATTTTGCTATTAATGGCTGCTTGAGTCAATGGACAATGAATCTGGAGATGAAGCCAAATCATATGGCTAGTAAGTAATCTCCCACAACAATTTTGATTTAAAAAATGATAATTTCATGCTAATATCAGTAGTAGAATGATCTTTTTTCCCACTTCCTAGCTAACATGGCCTGTAGATTGCTTGTTTTTGGTTTAAGTAAATAACTGAATAATTATGCCCACTTTCTTAAACTGAAAAGTGGCAGCATGATTGGAATGATTGTCAGGCTCAATCAAGAACACCTGGAATTAAATAAAGCAATTTCTAGTCTAGTAAAGTGGCATTATATTCATAGAAAGGGGGAACATCCAAAATGATAATCAGAATATAGAATTAAAAATTTCTAAAGTCACCAATATTCTTTGAGTGTTTAACATTGATGTTAACAATGAATAGCTATGACTAGTGTTTTTTGGGGGGGGGTGTTTTGCAAATTTCAAAACTTTATGGCAATGTGATAATATGCAAAATTTTGTAATTTGGAAGTTCTAAATACAGAATTTCAGTTTCTATATAAAAGAAGATCAGGAAAAACTCAAATTATACAGCTAAAGAGGCCAGTAGTACATGACATGCTTTATACCACTAATAAAGCCTGTACAAAATTAAGACTTATGTCAACAGAATAGTATTCAATTTGTAAGTAAATATTCACAGAGCATATTGTTAAAATAACTAAATCAAGTTTTTCATTTTAATCTGGAATGGGTGCATAAGAATATTTTGTTTCTGATTTAGATTAGCATTTTAATGCTAGCATTTAAAGCTTAAGAAAAAGAAAAAGCAGCAGCTTCTCTTCCTTTAGTATAACCTAGCACACTCAGCAATTAATACTGTTCTCTCTCTTTATTCTGTTCAGATTCCATGACTCTTAGCTCTTCCATTTGGGAGAGTACCATCTCTTTAAAGCTGAGTTTATGCACATTCAACAATCCCCAGGTACACAAAATCACTCCCTACAGTGTGGGCAGCAAACTGCTACTAATTTCCCTACCAGTAGGAATGTTGTGCCTGAAAACCAGCCATATCACAAGAGGAAGCATCACAAAATGCAGATCTACCTGATCAAGAATTCTGCCCATTCTATCAAAGAGAACTTTTAAGAAATGTCCTTCAAAGAATGCAGCTTCTAAATTGCACTTTTCCAGAGGCTTAGGAGATCCTGGCCATTCCCATCGTAAGCATGTGGAACAATAATCCCGAAACTAAAGAAAGAAACACAGTTGATTACTAATTAATAAACTGAAGAAGAAATAGTCACTACAGGAAGCAATTAATTATCTACTTTTTTAGAAAGAATTCCCTAAAAAACAAGAGTTCCTAAAACACCGATAAGTGACTCTGTCTGTCTGTCTTATTAACTGCATTAAAGTATCCTTCTTAGAATATTGTAAAAAGCATTGTGAACTTGATGAAAGTTATTTTCTTGTGGAAATATCTCATGCACACAAACTTCTGAATTCTTTGTCAGGCTACAACTGTATGTTTAAACAGTATACATGTACATAATATATCACAAACATCACTTGTGAAGAAAAATTAAGGTACTAATTTGAGACAAGTTAGGATGCTAGAACCCTACAAAATTTAATCTAGACCATGCCCATTTATTACTCAAACACTGGTTCAGTTCATACTGCTTGATAGAGAAAATGAAGAATGAGATATAGCTATTATCTGGTTGCTTGTTTTAAAAACAATTTAGCAAAGTGTCAGGAGCTGAGACACTTTTGAACCCAATGAAATGGAAGCATTAGAAATACATCAACATTTCTTTAGTTTCAGACTGAAACTAAAAAGGCTGAACTGAATTTTCTTATAAAAAGGGACTTCAATGAGAATATTCCAGTATCTCTAGTGATTTATAACATTATATATCTATGAAATAAAGTTGGCTTCCTCCTCCCCCTTTTCTGAATCCATTATATTATATATAAAATAGCATTTTCTGTTTTTGCTTACTTGTCGATGGGCATCTCTGAGGTAGGTATCATAACCTGTTCCTTCCACATGGTAAGAAGATTTGGCTTCATCTGGTACAAGACAGAGAAAACTGCAAATACATATAAAAAAAGGTGATTTGTTTATATGCTTTTAGAACAAGGGGCATCTCAAATGTTATTTAACCTCTGCTAATTAGATGGATTGCTATGGAACTGAATACAAAGAAATCAGTTGGACGTTTCACGCAATCTGGTTACTGAAATTTTGCACTGCTAGAGAAGAATGTTTAACCCACTCCCAGTTATTTCAGATGGCATATTAGCATCTGTAGATAGGCTGCTTGTATTTGAAGTGATCCAAAATTGAGTTATTCTTAAAATTGTTTAATTTGCTGGGATTAAAAAGAAGAAACTAATCAAGATCAGGAAGCCATAAAAGATAAAAAAGATCCTACTACAATATGGGATGAGATATTTAATTCCTTTTTAAAAAGTACTGAAATAAAACTAATACAGCATCTGAAAATTAACATGCCCAAATAATAATTAACAGCAACAACGTTAACAGTACAGCACCTAACTCTGAAGAAATAAAAACTTAAATAAATATTAATCTATGTAAAATATGTTGTATTTTTAACCTTCCTGGAATATTTGGATTTATCTCAGACAATATATTTTTCTACCCATAAAGAGAGCAAAAGGTATTAGATTAACAAAATGTTGAGCCTATTGCATGTAAAAATGAATTATCGTTGCTACTGAAAACTTTTTCAAAAGAAAGGATGCACAGGAAATACTGGAATTATTTTATCATCTTAGTTAACAATGGAAGATCCAGAGTTAAAGACTAATTTCTGCAGATTCTTGTCATCTGTCTCTCTATCCTTCTTGCTGCCTCACACCTGACTTCTACTTAAAGGCAGAGAACACTAGGTTGGTGTTACAGAATCCTAAAAAATGTAGGCTTCTCTTTTTCAACTAAGAACTTTCCACTTTTCCCAGCTTTTGATCAGGCTTGAAACATTTTTCTTTCTTGTCTACTGTATTATCCCCAACTCATTTTATTTTGCTTTTTATTCATTTTGGTATACTTACATAGATTATTTATATTTTATTTCAGTTTAGTGTCCATCAATTACATGCCCTTTAGAGATCAAAAATCAAACATATATAAAAAAATAGAAAAAATCTGCATCATGCCATGATCAAAGAGCATTTCATATATTTCATTCACATACTGATATACTCCCTTACATATACATACATTTTAAAATCCTTATATATACATAAATGTTAAAGTCCTTCATTTTCCTTTGCTGTTACAGAATGTTAAAAAAACTATTTAATGTATTTGATTTTTTACATTTTATACTTTGTTCCTTTCTTCTATGTTTATTAATTTTTTACTCTAAACTACTAAGCTAATTATAGCAATACAGTACTTACAAAACATGCATTAGTATCTTATTAAGGACTTCTTTCTAAACTTATACATAATAATATACCATGGTGTAATATTTACAAATTATAATGAATATTGTAGTTGAATAAACAAAATAATTACTTCAGAAAAATGCAGGTTTGGGTTTAGGAGAAACAGTAATTGTCTCAACCAAACATTCTGGCTGAGATCTTACATGGAATTGCAACAAATTATGTTGGTATTGTAAGGAGGGGAAAAACTCCCACTAGACATAAAGACCGAAAAGGGCATTTCAGATTATTTTTCTAATGAATTTAAGGGATAAGCATTACTATCTAGTGGCACATCTCTCAGGATTTCATTATTAGCTTTCTATTGTAATTCTGTACTCTAAGGAGCTATTTGTAATAGTTTTGACATACTTCTCAGTGCAGTGGTTGAAGAGTGAATATTGTTGCATAATCAAGCCCATGTATTGTAACTAATTTTATGATTTTGAATATATTAAAAAAGGCTTTAAATACTAAATTTAAGATTGCAGGAATCCAGCTCAGGTATGATAAGTCAGTCACTCCCTTCTGGCTGATTCATTATATTCAAAGCAATCTACTCATTTGTACTTACCCTTCTCTACCTTGCATACACTATGTTTGCAATTTTCTCTCGTGCTCAGTGAACACACACACATGGACAAGAACCCTAACCCTAACCCATACTATCACATGATGGCTCAATGTTCATCAGAAAAAAGTGATCAATTAATTGCTCTCCTTTAATTCTTCAGTTCCAACTTACAATAAACTCTTGATTTAACAGACTAATGTGGGGAATTAGTGTCCTAATTTTAATCCTTAAATCAGGATGTTGTTAAATCTGAAGGGAATATGGTCATGTGCTTTTAATGCACACATAACATTGGAATGGGATGTTATGCATATGTAATTTATGCACATCTAAAATAGTGAATGAGATTTTAGCATGCATAGAAGCATAAAGCACAAAGCTTTTGTCCACTGTCCAAATTCTATTAAACCAAGATTTGTAAAATAGAGGGCTTGCTGTAGTGCACATAAGAGTAATGTGGTATAGAAGTTAAGGTGTTCATATGTAGGAACAGGAAGACTCAGATTCAAGTCCAATCTAAGCTATGAAAAACAGGGTTATTCTTGTGAGAAAAACTTGACAAGAAAGTGCTGTGCATGTCACTTTTACTCCTGAAAGGCAGGTCAGATATGAATATAACAAACAATAAATAAAATACATACTTCACCAATCTTAAGAATCTTTTTGACTGTTATTGCAGAAATCAGTACAAGAAAAACCTAAGGGAAGTGTTATAGAATTAGTAACCTAAGAACATATATTAAGTTTAACACACCTATTTACAATTTTATGGACTTCAGTCTTCCCATCATTTTTTGGATGATCTGGGGTTGTAGGTGGTGAAGCGCTAAGCCACTCTTGATTTGACAATACAGTATCAGGAGAAAGATCTGTAAACAAAGGATCTTCTTCTAGGTCTCTGTAGCAAAATAAAGAAAGGACAGAATTTTGGTTTCCTTTGTTTGAAAAGTTACTGCTTTGTTTGAAAAGACAACTTTATGTCTGCAGCCTGAAGATACATCCAGTACAATTTCTGCTTCCTCTCCCTTTCAACTACATCCTTCAACTTACAAGCAGCTTTTAAAATATGTTCCAAAAGATATGCAAACATTCTGTTACAGAAGACTTAATCACAAAATAGGCCATTCCAACCTCAAAATATTTGAAGCATATTTGAGAAACAGAATCTCAAAGATTGAACAACTTAATGATTCTAAGCAAGCCTCATAATCTTAGTTGAAATGTAATAAACAAACAAATAAATAAAATGCTTTGAGTTCCATCAAACTTTACCAACACAAAACACAGGCACACTGTCTTGAAGAACATATACTTAATCAGGTTCACATAGATTAATCAGAAATGAATGATACATGCATGGAGTCAGAAAAAAAAACTGCTAATCAGTGCCTAATAAGGGCCCACAGTGTTTTTAGGGTATTCACATGCTGGAGTCTGCCCAGAGGACAGCAACCAAGATGATAAGGACCCTCGAAGAAAAATCTACTGAGGAATAGTTTGAAGGTAAAAGGTATCTAAAGCCTGGAGAAGAGGAGACTTCAAAGAGATATAACTATCCTCAAGTATCATCATGACCATCATGTAGAGGATGAGATAGTCTACCTTGAGGTAGTATACTGTTACTGTAACTATTAAGATCAAATAATAATACATGCACACATACACTAGTCACTTGTGATTCTACAGTCAGTCCTCAAAGGACTTCCAGAAAAGCTAAGCCTTTACTAGCTTTTGGCAGGCTATGAGGCTGGGCCATCCTCATCTCAGGGAGTAAACTGTTTCACAGGAAGAGAACTGCCACCAAGAACAACTGACGTTGGATCCCTTCATGCCACACCTCCTTGTAGGTGGGGACCCTTAGTATGCACTCTCTGGCCACCTAGGTTAGATGGGCAGACATGATTTGGGAAAGGTGATCTGTTAGATTCCCAGGCCCAACCATATACAGTTTTAAAGGAAGTCATCAGTACCTTGAATTGTAATTGGGCATTTGCGGCAATGGAAGGCATGTACAGGGAGGATACTGGAATGGAAGATCAAGGTTATCAGGAGGGAGGGGGAGCATTCCTGGAAAGGATACAGGCAAGCACTTCCTCAGCCTGCAGCAGGACCGTGGGAAGATGAAGAAGCTGAGACTAGCCCCTCCCTAGAGTCTCATGGGGTATAGCCACTAGTTGCTTTAGCATAGGTTTAGTCTGGCAAGAATGATGTCAGGCCCAGCCCAAGAACGACGACCTTTATTAGTTTGCACCCAGGATAGTATCCTCCTTACACATGCCTTCCATTACATTTGCTGACGATCTGTTGGTTAATTTTGGAAGGCCCTTTGGAAGGAATAGAAATATTAATGGAAAGGATTTTGGTGTGTTAGCTGGTTTTAAAATTAATAACCAAAAGACGAAGGTGTTAACAAAAAACATGAAAATGGAAGACCAAATAGAATTGATGGAAAAAACTGGTTTTAAGACTGAGAAAAAAGTAAAATACTTGGGTATTGTTATAACTAATATGAATTGTATGTTATTTCAAAATAATAACATTATTTCATAAGGTATGGAATGAAATCAAGAAGAATATGTTAAGATGGGAAAAATTACAATTATCATTGTTGGAGAGAATTTCCATGATAAAAATGAACGTATTACCTAGAATTATGTTTCTGTTTCAAACAATATCTATTTTGACAACTGATTCACCTTTAAGCAATGGCAGAAAGATATATCTAGGTTTATATGGCATGGGAAAAAACCAAGAGTTAAATTTAAAATTCTTCAAGATGCAAAGGAACAAGGAGGACTGAGATTGCCTGATTTGAAATTATACTTTGCAGCCTGCTGTTTGGTTTCGATGAAAGAGTGGGTGTTACTGAGAAATACGATAATTTTAGAATTAGAAAGGCACAACCTTTGGTTTGGATGGCATGGTTTTTTAAGGTATGACAAAGTTAAGGTTAATGTAGACTTTTAAAATCATTATATTAGAAGTGCCATAGTGAGAATATGGAATAGATACAAACCCAGACTGTGCCAAAAATGCCTTTGCGGATCTCAGCACAAGAAGCATTTTATAGGAAAGAAACAGCAGACAAAGAGAAATGGTTAACATATTGAGAGTTGTTAGAACAAGAACATGGAGAATACAAGATGAAGTCAAGAGATCAACTGACTGCAGAGGGATTTAGTTTTCAATGGTTTTCATATGTACAGTTAACAGAAAGATTCAAAGTAAACAAAAGGACAATTGGAATTGAGCAACATAAGACAGAATTTGAAACTGAATTACTGTATGTGCAAATGATGAACATGTAATTTCTAAAATGTATAAGCTTTTACTGAAATTTGAAACAGAAGAACAAGTTAAAGAGCGTATGATAAAATGGGCTAAGAACTTTGGTTATAACATTCAGATGGAACAATGGAAAAATATGTGGCTGAAAGGACTGAAATTCACATTATGTTACAATTTAAAAGAGGATTTTTATAAAATGATGTACCATTGGTACATGACACCAGAAAAACTATCTAGAATGTATAAAGGTACTTTAAATCTATGTTGGATATGTGGAAAACATGAAGGGTTATTTTATCATCCTAGGTGGACTTGTAAAAAAGCTAGAAAATTTTGGGTTCAAATATATATAGCGATAAAAAGAATTTTAAAGATTAATATTCAGCTGAAACCAGAACTTTTCTTGCTGGGACTAATGGACAGACAATTAGAAAAGCCTAATGGAAGATTGCTTTTGTACATGGTAATTGCAGTAAGATTATTATATGCACAAAGATGGAAAGACTCTGAAATACCCACAATGGAAGAATGGTTGGTGAAGATGACAAAATTTGCAGAGATTGCAAAATTGACTTGTTTCATTAGGGAAAAGACAATAACTACATTTGTTAGTGACTGGAAACCCTTTATGGACTTTTTGCTGAAAATGGAAAAAAATGAATTTGTGATTTATGGGTTTGATGATTTGAAAGGGTAGAATATGGAAAGAAAGGAGCCATGGTGTAACCATAGAGAGGATAAAATATAAATGCATTTATAACTGCTGTAAAGAAGATCGGAAACCACTCCTTTATAACTTTTTCTTTCTTTTCTGTCTCTTTTCTTTCTTCCTTACTTATCACTTTTCTTTTCTTTCCTTTTTTAAAAATTTGTATTGTTTTTATGCTATAAAAAAATTCTTCAATGAAAATTAATTTTAAAAAAAGGAAACACAATGGCAGCCTGGACAGCTCCTGCAGCAATGGTGTAACATGGCATTACAAAGACTGGTCAGTGAGCATGCAGGCCACTGCATTCTAGACCAGCTGAAGCTTCCAGGTGGTCTTCAAGGGCCAAACCATATAGAGTGAATTACAGTAATCTAATCAGAGATGACAAGGGCATGAATAACTCTCTTCAGAGCATCTTATGCCAGGTAAGGTTGCTCTTGAAACAGGGGGAGATGCACATTCTTCATTCATATCTCTTGCATGAAACTGTGGTATTTTTCAACAAACCTTCAAGATTTTGCTTCTACTTTTTACAATTCATCACCTGTTAAAATGATACATCCTGTAACTTCTATAAACCCTAGATTAAAGCATCACATCTACATTCAAAATTATTTTCATAGTAAAATAAACCCATTTGACTCTAAAATAATTTTGGTTTTTAAAAAACCAGTGAAACCTATCCCAGCTACTTCAGAGGAAATTCAGAACATAATAAAACATACACTGCTCCTGCTATCTGCCCATTTTCTACCACATCTTTATCTTCTTGGCAGGGTGGTTTATATTCAGTATAGTTCCTCTCCTCTAAATTTCTAAGAACCAGGTTATAAAGAATGTGTTCATCAGGCTTTTGCAAAAGATGTTCAAACATTCTGAGGGTCATTATGCTGATCTGTAGAAATAAAGGGAAAAAAGGCATTAAAAGATGCTGGCAAGGGCTGAATAATTGTCTTTTTCACATGTCTTCTCAGTGTTATTATGCTTGTCACTAGAAAGTGAACTTATAGAGATATGTACTTTATACTTAGAACTGCAATCAGAACTTGGAAAATAGGCTTTGGTTCAGACAACCATAATCATTAGTACAGTGAGGGAAAAAAGTATTTGATCCCCTGCTGATTTTGTACGTTTGCCCACTGACAAA